TCGTTCGAATTTGAGCGGGCGAGGAGAGTTGGGTCAGTCAGGTGCGCGGAGACGGCGAGGCGGAAGCGGGAAGGGCTATGGAGAGCTTGGTGGAATGGAAACCCTTTGAGTGAAACAACGCGCAGGGAATGAAAGGGGACTTTGGCCAGTGCCACTGTATCACAAAATCCAGTGTTGTCCTTCCTTCTTCGTATTTTCTCGCTCTGACTGCCTCCATTATATATACCAGGGTTTCTTCTGGAGTTACAGAACTAGGATGTCGTCCTTCTTTCGGATGATAAGTCCATATGCAGTTGATTCTGGAAGAAAATTTATAAGTTATGAATGAAACATCGATGTTCTTATTTGAGAAAAGAAACCAAGTTAAAAAATAAATAAATAAAAGTGTATGCTTGTATTCCTCATAAAACATCGTTATCTACTTTTTCTCATTTTTTCCTCAAAAATTGAAGAAAAAAAAAGGTTGTGTGAACGGAAAGTTTTCTTGATTCTTAGTCATGTTTATTCACATATGCGAAGATTTTTTGAAATCATCAGAATGCAGTTTCTGTTTCTAACATTATCCATGTAATAGAAAATACAGTAGAGGATAACTCACAAAATATGCAAACACATCAGAAAGTGAAGGCAGTTAATGTTTCAGGAGGAAAAGAAAGGAAGAGAAATAAATATCTTAAAAATAAACAAATAACCAAAACCAAAACCAAAAAAGACTCATTTATGCACTATCGTTCACAATACCACAAATCACTATACAGAAAAAAGTTATTGCAAGCATTATCTACTTATAATTCCAAAGAAAGAATTTTTGTGTGGTAATTTTTGCATTGGTCGTACTTGTCAAGGCAAAATCTTGAAAGATAGTTCTAATCACATTATTTAATCGAAATTTTGTATTTTGTTGGTGCCAAAATCGAAAAGCACATTCACTCTTTCACGTGAAATAACACTAGACATAATGAGTAGTGGCGGTAAATACAGCGCAACAAAATATAATCTCCAGGAAGACAGTCAATTTAATCTGCTCGAGATATTATTTTTTTTAAATTACCTCTTTCACCAGTTAAAGCTTTCCAAAGTAACATGTCCAAAAAGAAGAACATCAATGAAAATAATGCTATTTTAAGTATGTAATCAAAATCAGATTCATGACGAAAGCAGAGGCAACAAGCTAAAGATCAGCATCCTACTTGGCTTGACACATACATAATCAATCTCTACCTGACGAAGGTAGGTTTCTACACAGAAAAAGCTTCCGTTTGGCGAGTGCAGGAGGGTACTATCTGAAAAAGCTGTAATCAACACGGGGTAATTTACAACCCTGTAGAGCACTCTTGAAGATCTCGTCCCCCATAGCTACACCCAATCAAGAGTAATAAAACCTACAGTTCAAGTACACTACTTCATATCTAAACCATCACCACCTCCAAACATGCCGGAGAACTCTTTGGAGTTCATCTGCTTCATGAGCGATTGCAAGCCTCCAATTCCTCCGATTTGCTTCAACATCTGAGGTGGAAGCACCTTACTCATGTGCTGTGCATTCATATTCCGAGACATAGCACTCATATCACCCTTTTTAGGAATCTTAAGTCCTTTCATCTTACTCCAGATCTTGGCCAATCGCTTAAATTCCTCCAGCATTTCATGAACCTCACGCAAGCCACGTCCAGAACCCCTCGCAATTCTGTATATGCGTGAATCCGTCATTAGCTTTGGGTTTGTGCTGTCTAGTTCTGCACCACCAGAAATTACACAAAGATTAATATGAGGCCAATAACATCGTTGAACTCACTAACGAAAAACTGATCAAGCAAAAGTGTAAACAGGACGACAAAGAAACAAGCCGACTTCCAGTAAGGAAACATACGTATTTTGAGACCACAGAGAAAGACCAAGAAAGGATACCTTCATCTGTCATAGAATCCATCATTGTCGTAAACTTCTTAATCTTAGCCTGGCTTTCTTTTTCTCGACCTTTCGGCATAAACTCTTGACTAAAACCTGGAATCATTGACATCACCTGCCAAATAACACAACAGGCACTTCAGTACATGTCCAAAGTAGGACTTTTTTTTTTTAAAATAACCATTAACTTGAAGATGTACAACTATCGAACCTCCATTGTTTAGAAACAAAAAAGTTCCCCTCAGAAAAATTCCAGGATGAGCAATAAACGCAAACAAAAATCGGAAAGTAGTCAGTCACCTGGCTGAGAGGACCCATTTTCAGGATGTTCTGAAATTGCTCATACATGATGCGCAAAGTAAAATTGCCCTCGGACAGCTTTTGGAGTAGCTCGGGTTGCTGGTCCATTGGGACGGCATCTTGAATCTTTTCCATAAAGCCTGACCAGTCACCCATACCTGCACCCGAGAAAATTCCAATATTACTTCCAGCATCCTAAAGAAAACTGGAAAGGAGCGACATGACAGACATTATAATCGATCAGCTAGATCAGACATAAATTGTAGCCCACAATACAACAACACAGCGTTATGTAATATAAACGACATGAAACTCACCTAGAAGTCGACTTACAAAGGTCTTGGTCTCAAAGGCCTCGAACTCATCCATGTGCTCTCCTGTACCTATGAAGATAATCGGACTTTTTGTGGCTGCCACTCTGAAACCAAAGGCCATGTTTAGCGGTCTGTAATCCGGACAACGATTGATAGTTTGCCCTGACTTATCATCCAACAAAGTTACACATTATCCTTGATAAAAGATATAAATTACTTAGGTCAAACTTACGCGCTGAGAGCACCTCCTCCCTTGGCATGCCCATCCATCTTAGTTACAATAACTGCCCCGACAGCTACACTTTGCTTGAAAGCCTGAGCTTGATCGAAAGCCGCCTGTCCTATGCTGCTATCCATCACAAATATCACAAGATCTGGACTCTGCACTCACGCAGCACACTTGTTTGTCAGCCTGATTCCAGATTAACCATGGATAAGGGCACTCTCTACAAAACTATGCAGTGCACGTTCCGAATGACATTCATGTCTTTAACAAGGCTACCCACGATTTATGTGTGTTCCTTCACCATGATGGACCATTTTCTCTGTAACTTACAACACTAATATCGCAAGGCTGAAATATCCGTAAGAGATATGACATTTGTCTCCTCAAATTCCACTCTCGTCCGATTTAAACCAGGGAATTCGAAGGTCGTGTGAATCTACAAAACACTTACAAATCGCTAAAATCGCATGACAATCTAGTTGGAAATCATCACTTTAAGCTTCATCTTCCAGCTAAGCTTTAGCGTGTGAAATTATATGACTCTGAAGCCATGCAATTGACTAAGCTCATTACATCGTTAAATGATTGCCATGAAATTACTTACCGTGACTTCAGCAAGTTGACGCATCTCCTCAAACAAAGATGCCTCCTGCTTGTGCCGCCCACTAGTATCGACAATAATCAAATCACAGTTCTCCTTCTTGAACCTCTCAACTCCCTCCTGAGCAATCTTGACTGGGTCTGTCTCTGTGTAGCTGAAGAGAAAAAAATGAAACGGCTTTATTACCAGTTTTCCCCTCAGATATTCGTGATTGGTCACCTGCAAGTGAAATGGCATCGTTCCAAATTGAACTGAAAACAAGTGACTTATCTCCTATTATCTAGAAAAATCGAATTCAACAGACGTTTTACAACTCATTTTGTACAAATTACTGGCAATACATTTGTCGAGAAAGACTGCTTAGAACACAAATTACCTGCCATAGAAAGGAATTTTAGCTTTCGTCGCATTCTGTTTGAGCTGATCGAACGCACCCGCTCGAAACGTATCAGCGCAAACCAGGGCTGGCTTCCATCCCTTCTTTTGATAATGATATGCATATTTCGTGCAAGTTGTGGTCTTTCCCGAACCTGAAGGACAAGATTGATCGAGTGAGTACTCATTTCTAAACCGAAAAAACGCCAACAATTGCACGTCTTATCGAACCTGATTATCAATGCAAAATAAAGCTCAAGTAAAGTTTCAGAAAGGGGTTCCAATTGACAGCTCACCCTGCAAACCGACAAACATGATAACATTGGGTTTTCCCTTCTTCGGTACAAATGCTGGCTTCCCAGGATCGAGCATTTTGCACAGTTCGTTGAAGACAGCCTGAATAATTTGATACAAAGTTTTTCAGAAAAAAAAAACAAAACAAAACAACATTGCTCGGTACTCAGCTAATTAAAACTCCTTCTCTAAAACGAAATCGTATGGTGGTTCTCGAGCAAAAACTTACACTAGTACTTTTCACATCATGAAACACCACTAGCCATCATTCAAGCCCTCCGGCTCACGTGCTAATAAAGCACGCTTGCGAATAGAGTACAAATCCATGTGATCCAGACAATGGTTAATTAGGTCAACACTCACTCTCTCTCTCTCTCTCTCTCTCTCTCTCTCTCTCTCTCTCACACACACACACACACACACTGAGAACAAGGTCTCAGAAAACACACCTGCTGGATGATTTTCCTCTTGTTATGGCCAGCCGCGAGGTCGTCAAAGTTCACAGTCTTCTTAATATTCGATTGCATGGCACCGATCATCTTGAATTGCACATCAGCCGACATGAGCGCTCGCGAAATCTCGTTCAAGCACTCCGTCAGCACCTTCTCATCAATAAAAGTGGCACTGCTCATCTGTTGGAGGGCACGCGAGATGCGGCCCCCCAGCTCCGCGAGCACCATCTTGGCCTTCGGTTAAGCCCACTCCCCTTCAAATCCTTTCAATCTCACCGCAGACCCTCACCGCCAATTCCCAAGCCTCTCGTGCGACGACGCCACTCCGGTGCCGATGTGTGAAACCTCGACGCGCACACACCGAGTCGATGCAGCTCCGCTTCTCGATGCCACCAAAAACAAACCCTAGAGCTGACCAGAGAGGGATCCACTGTGCAAACAAAAGATGACTAAAGGGGGATGTGCCAAGAATTAGGGTTTGCGAGAAACGCAAGCGGAGATCGAAGAGCCTGGCTTACGACTCGACTCATCTAATGAAGCATCATCGTCGTCTTCATGCGTGTTTTGTTTGTTTGTAAGCGTTTGTTGGTGCCATAGCTTTTGCTACGACTTGTCCTTGTGAGTCGCCTCACTTTTACTTTAAAGGCTATATTATACTTTTTCATTTTTAAAATTTGTAGGTGGAATGGATTATGAAAACTTTATATGTTCTCATCAAGTGTCATTGTATTAGTGATGTTTGATTTTTTGAAAATAATTGAAATGGTATTGGCATGATAAAAATTTGATTTTTTTTTTGTTTTTTTTTTTTGTGTTTTTTGTGTTTTTGTGTTTTTTTTTTTTTTTTGGCTCTTTTTCTTTATCGTTTTCTTTGTTTACCTTAGTATTGTGTGTTTTTAATTCTTTTATGATACACATTTATCAAACACTTCATATGCATTACATGTTTTATAAATCGTTTATAATGACTTTGTGGTTGGCAGCTACTCATTAGAACATGGATGTTTATTTATTCGTTGGCGACTTTTTTCACCATAATTGTAAGATTTGAATTATGCACAAGTTGCAAAACATGTTATGATAGTGAACCTTGTTAAAGATATACAATGTTTATTTCATATTATATATATATATATATATATATATATATAACCATGTACATTTATATTTAATTTTCATAGTAATGCATGTTTTCTTTATTTGCTTCAGTAAGCACATGTTTACTAATTGCAACAATTTGAAAAATCATTACTTGATTCTATTTGTTTTTGCTCTTATCTGAATGGCATTTGCAATACTTATACAATTCTTTATTTATTTTTTTATTTACTGTATGTCTTTTATCAATAACTTGTATTTTGTGAATATCAAGTCTATACTTTAGACAGTGGATAAGTTGTGCCAATTCCAAAAATTGACAGAATTATAGACAAGAATGACTTTGCATTGCATCATATATTGATGTTGACAACTAATGAGGTTATTGCCTATCAATCCGCCACCATTTAACTTAGCACCCAAATGCAAATTATGTTATTGTGGATATCAAAAGCAAATCATTCAGATCTATCTTTTTAAATTTATAATTTTAACTTCTGTAGTTTGTATTTTGCTTTCAAATTAAGAACATTCATTTGGTGATTTTATTGATGAAAACATATTAACATAATCAATTAAATTAAACCTGACGAAGGTAGGTTTCTACACAGAAAAAGCTTCCGTTTGGCGAGTGCAGGAGGGTACTATCTGAAAAAGCTGTAATCAACACGGGGTAATTTACAACCCTGTAGAGCACTCTTGAAGATCTCGTCCCCCATAGCTACACCCAATCAAGAGTAATAAAACCTACAGTTCAAGTACACTACTTCATATCTAAACCATCACCACCTCCAAACATGCCGGAGAACTCTTTGGAGTTCATCTGCTTCATGAGCGATTGCAAGCCTCCAATTCCTCCGATTTGCTTCAACATCTGAGGTGGAAGCACCTTACTCATGTGCTGTGCATTCATATTCCGAGACATAGCACTCATATCACCCTTTTTAGGAATCTTAAGTCCTTTCATCTTACTCCAGATCTTGGCCAATCGCTTAAATTCCTCCAGCATTTCATGAACCTCACGCAAGCCACGTCCAGAACCCCTCGCAATTCTGTATATGCGTGAATCCGTCATTAGCTTTGGGTTTGTGCTGTCTAGTTCTGCACCACCAGAAATTACACAAAGATTAATATGAGGCCAATAACATCGTTGAACTCACTAACGAAAAACTGATCAAGCAAAAGTGTAAACAGGACGACAAAGAAACAAGCCGACTTCCAGTAAGGAAACATACGTATTTTGAGACCACAGAGAAAGACCAAGAAAGGATACCTTCATCTGTCATAGAATCCATCATTGTCGTAAACTTCTTAATCTTAGCCTGGCTTTCTTTTTCTCGACCTTTCGGCATAAACTCTTGACTAAAACCTGGAATCATTGACATCACCTGCCAAATAACACAACAGGCACTTCAGTACATGTCCAAAGTAGGACTTTTTTTTTTTAAAATAACCATTAACTTGAAGATGTACAACTATCGAACCTCCATTGTTTAGAAACAAAAAAGTTCCCCTCAGAAAAATTCCAGGATGAGCAATAAACGCAAACAAAAATCGGAAAGTAGTCAGTCACCTGGCTGAGAGGACCCATTTTCAGGATGTTCTGAAATTGCTCATACATGATGCGCAAAGTAAAATTGCCCTCGGACAGCTTTTGGAGTAGCTCGGGTTGCTGGTCCATTGGGACGGCATCTTGAATCTTTTCCATAAAGCCTGACCAGTCACCCATACCTGCACCCGAGAAAATTCCAATATTACTTCCAGCATCCTAAAGAAAACTGGAAAGGAGCGACATGACAGACATTATAATCGATCAGCTAGATCAGACATAAATTGTAGCCCACAATACAACAACACAGCGTTATGTAATATAAACGACATGAAACTCACCTAGAAGTCGACTTACAAAGGTCTTGGTCTCAAAGGCCTCGAACTCATCCATGTGCTCTCCTGTACCTATGAAGATAATCGGACTTTTTGTGGCTGCCACTCTGAAACCAAAGGCCATGTTTAGCGGTCTGTAATCCGGACAACGATTGATAGTTTGCCCTGACTTATCATCCAACAAAGTTACACATTATCCTTGATAAAAGATATAAATTACTTAGGTCAAACTTACGCGCTGAGAGCACCTCCTCCCTTGGCATGCCCATCCATCTTAGTTACAATAACTGCCCCGACAGCTACACTTTGCTTGAAAGCCTGAGCTTGATCGAAAGCCGCCTGTCCACATGTCACCACATTAGATTATTAATATCAGTGCATGTTGTTAAACATTTCGAAGATTTTAAACTTTTTGAACTTGGTAAGTTTTAAAGGAGAAATATATCAATGGCAATATTTGGGTATGTGTATACTTATATAGAGAGAGATATCCCAATACATAGTTAATAAAAACATGTAGAGTATAGTAAAAAAAAAACAAGAAACGAAAAACACCATGATTGAAACAAACTCTAAAGCCAACAATGTCCCAAATCATTTATATCTATATTTTGACGATTAAAAAGTTACAAATACAATCTGAAGTATAGGGCAATCAACATCCATTTTTATCTAATTTGATGTTTTTGTGCTTAAGTTATTTTGATTGTTTATTTGTTCTCACAGTAGATAGAAATTTTGTTTATTTAATTTATGTATGTTCATGAATGTGCAAAGATTTTCCTGTATTTTTTTACAGGGTGTTGTAGATTATCTATCATGTAGTCATGATGAAGAGTCTATTATTACTATTATTACTATTAGTGTTATTATTATGTTCTTTGTTTAATTAATGACAAGCTCATTAGCATTGTTTATTATTCATTTTCATAGTTGCCAATCATATCACAGTGGATATTGAAGTTGCTCACCAAATGTGTACCGGAAAAATATACCTACAAATGTGTGCCAGAAGAGTTCATACTCAGAACCCATGTTTAAACATGATTTCCAACGTAATAAACTTCAATACCCCAATTATCTATTTATTCATTTATTGAAAAGCGCAACTTACACTCATCCAACGACTCAGTCTTTTATGTACAATCTACAAATATTTCAAGCCACGTTAAATCGAAAGTATAAAAAAAACCCACT